ATGTCACTTGTAGCAAGGTAATACTAATCACAATATCATAGTGAATAATAAAATAAAATAAAATATTTTAGTCATGTATCAAGTGTGACATTAATGTCCGTCCCCGCAGATGTGTACCAGTTCGGTGCAATGTACGGTCTGAGCATTATTTCCATTTTCTTCGTATGTTTCGCAACTAGTTATGTCTATCTACCAGTTTTCTATGGCTTACAACTTAATAGTACCTATGAGTATTTAAAACTGCGATTTAACGCGTCAATACGAAGCTATTGCTCACTTCTTTTTATATTCAACTCAATTTTATACATGTCGATTGTTGTCTACGTTCCAGCCCTGGCATATTCACAAGGTAAGAATTAAATTAAACAGGTAATGAATAAAAACTAAATAATGAAGATATACGTTAATTTTAAGCCACTGGAATTAGTATATATTATGTTATCCCGTTCATATGTGCGATTTGTACGTTGTACACAACAATCGGTGGAATAAAAGCAGTGGTTTGGACAGACACTCTTCAGTTTATCATTACTGCAGGCGCCATTGCTGTTGTGTTTATTCTTGGGCTAAACAAAGCTGGAGGAATAGGCAATGTGCTGGAGGTTGCAAAAAGAGGAGACCGTTTATCATTTGAGTATAACCAACATATGACGGACATTTATTTTGTCTTAAATTAATCTTTTATTTAGTTTTGATTTAGATCTAACCACGAGAGAAACTGTCTTCGCTGTATTAATGCACTGGTTCTTGACTTACATTCGCTTGACTGCAACGAGCCCAGAATGCATTTTGAAGTTCTTAGCGTTGCCCACATTGAAAAAAGCACAGCAATCTATAGTCCTGTTTTGTTTCGGGATAATTTTGATAAAACTGATCGTTGTGTTAACTGGGTTAATACTTTTTACTATATACTACGGATGCGATCCTGTAAAGGCTGGATTAGTAGAGAAAAATGATCAGTTGGTACCATTCTATGTGGCTGACATGGCTGCGGGTATTCCTGGCTTAACAGGACTGTTTATTTCCGGAGTGTTTTGTACTGGTTTAAGGTACTTAGATGCAATCTTGTAAATTTTTGGTTGAAAAGTGTTAACTTTTCTAATTCCAGTACTTTATCAGCATCTTTAAACGCGTTATCAGCAACAGTTTATCAAGACTTCATATCTAAATACTACCCAGAGTTGGACAAGAATGGCAGGACTGGATTTATTATAAAATTTCTTGTTGTTGCGATGGGTGCCGTTATTGCTGTGCTTGCATTAATGGTAGAACATTTAGGGCCAATTTTACCCTTGGCAATCAGTGTGTCAAGTATTACAGCGGGTAGCTTTTTAGGGTTGTTTACTTTGGGCATGTTATGTCCTCGGGCTAATTCAAAAGTATGTTTAAATACAGGACCAGCAAATATTTTTAAATAATTTTTATTACATAAATTTCAGGGTGCATTATGGGGTATATTTTCATCTACTTTAATAATTGGTTGGATGTTTATTGGGTCACAATGGTACAAAGCCCAAGGTCTGCTAAAGAGCGAACCTAAATACTTATCAGTTGATAACTGTACTCTTGACATATCTTTAACAAATATAACGTAAGTATTAAGTATGATTTGATAAAGTAACCTAACGTATTTATTGGTTACTATTTTCCAGCACTACGATGAGTATTCCCCAGGAATCAAATACAATATTTTATTTATACAGAATAAGTCATTATTACTATAGCCTGATCGGAACAACAGTTTGTATCGCAGTTGGGTTGATCGTTAGTTACGCGACCAAGAGTAAGAAAGAAGTGAGAAGAGAGCTGATATCGCCTGTTGTTCATTATCTGTTTGATAACAAGAAGAAGATGAAAAACTTTGTTACAAGCACATTACACAAAGAAGATGGGAATTATCGTTCAATTTATAAAGCTAATCAAATATTAGAAGATAATTCGGTGGAAATGACTGAATTCAGAACAAAAACAATTACATAGTTGATATTATATAACAATGTTGTATACTAATTTGTATTAAAGATTTACTATGATTTACGCATTCCCATACACCCCCTCCACTTTATGCGGGAGAGCAAAAAGTCACAGGTTTCTGGGTTTCTATTTTCTTATACTCCTTATTTGCTAAGTTGATTTTCAATTTGTTTTGATTACAATAGCATAAAAGTACATGAGTATCCGCATGCAATGTAATGCGTTTATTAAAATGCTAGACTTGTTTACAAATATAACTGACTCAGTAGCAACTTAGTCTAAGTGATTAAATGAAACCTTTAAAGATAACTTCTGCCGAGAAAAATGCAACAACATTGAAATTGGTGTGTCAAACTACGATTCTAATCAGTTCAACTATTGCACGCTTCTAATAACTACATTGCTGTGAAACTATAAGTCTAGAAAATGTTTATAGAACTATCAATAACAATTCTGGTACTCTATATATTCTGGAGATGGCACATAAACTCAATTTTAGATGGTTTAAAATCATTAAAAGGCCCAGAATCGTACCCATTTATTGGATCTCTTGTGATTTGTTATCCTGTGTCCAGTTAGTACACTACTCGAACTAAATGACGCAACTTAATTTATATATTTTTAGATCTTTTGGCGAGAATAGGACAAATGTGTGATATTTACGGCCAAACTTATAAAATGACCATCCCGTGGACGGCTGGTATTGTCACAATTGATCTAGACCTGGTGGAATTTATCCTTACCTCGCAAGCAACCATTAATAAAAGTATTCTTTACATTTTCTTAAAAGAATGGCTGGGTGACGGTCTGCTTCTAAGCAAGTCAGCAAAATGGCGTCTAAGAAGAAAAACAATCACACCTACCTTTCATTTCAAAGTTTTAGACCAATTCGTGCATGTCTTTAATAAAAACAATCAAATACTTGTCCAACAATTGCAGAAGTCAATTGATAAACAAAATGGTGATGGTGTGGTAAACATAGCACACTTTGTGACCTTAGCAGCGATGGATAACATTGTAGAAACCGCAATGGGTACTAGTATGAATTCCCAACTCAATGATCAATCAGACTACGTGTGGGCTACAAAGTTTATGACGGCAAATGTGTACGATCATATTGTAAATCCTATAACTTATCTAAAAGCAACCTATATTTTCACACCAACTTACTGGAAGGAAAGGAAAGCCCTAAAGATTTTAAAAAACTACACCATGTCCTTAATTAAAACCAAACGTGAAACCTTAAGCAATCATAATAACACTATTACGGAAAACATTCATTCCGATACAGACATTAATTTGGATGATGAACATTTTGGTATAAAGAAGAAAACAGCTTTCCTTGATTTACTCCTCCAAACGACCATTGATGGTAAACCTCTGAGTGATGAAGACATCATGGAAGAAGTTGACACCTTCATGTTTGAAGGACACGACACAGTGAGCGCAGCAATATCTTTTACCTTATTCTGCATTGCTCAACATCCTGACGTTCAATCTAAAATAATTGAAGAACAACGCAGTATATTTGCCAACGAACCAGATAGAGATGTCACGAGTGAAGATTTAAAAGACATGCATTACTTAGAAATGGTTATTAAAGAGGGTCTCAGATTATATCCGTCTGTACCTGGCATTGCTCGCAATGTTTGCGAAGATTTCCACTACAAAGACATTCATGTACGCAAGGGAACGACAATTTGTATTCCAATTTTTAAAATTCATAAAGACCCTGCAAATTTCAACGATCCAGAGATGTTTATGCCTGAACGCTTCTTACCGACTGAACAAAGCACTCGTCATGCTTTTGCATTCTTGCCATTTAGTGCTGGGCATAGGAATTGCATCGGACAACGTTTTGCTATGATGGAGATGAAGGCTACCATTAGCAAAGTGTGCAGACATTTTGAGTTGGGTATGACAAATCCACCTCACAAGTGTATTCTTCCTTCGGCGATTGTTTTAATGTCAACGAATGGAGTTAACATTACAATGAAAAGAAGAAAATGGTAAAAATTGGATCAAATAAAATAATTTCTTGTAGTAACATGTAATAAATTATTAACTATAAACAATAAGGGAAAGAGAAATTTCGAACATATTTTAAGGTTTTTAAAGATAATAAAATGTATTTTGCTGGATATATAAATTTATTAAAGTATACTACTTAGTTGAAAGCTTTTACGTAAACAATCCATTTAACATTATTTTAAATGCAACATTAGGAAGCCTGATAAGACATTTATCAACAATCTCATATGCCCTGGTTGAGAGCCCGGAAATGAATGTGGGGCTTACTTCTGGAGGAAGTTCTGTGTGCAACGAAGTCCAACGGCGACAACCCTGTTCCAACAATGGGCAAATATTTGAAATAGCATCCCAGTTCAGCACATTTCTGGAAATCTGCCACTGCTCTGGAGCTTCGCTGACTCCGGTGGCCTTTACGTATCGCAGCACCGCAGCAGAGTCCTTCCATGGTCATGATTACTTCGAAAGCAAATTGAAATATCCCTTTTAATCTGACTTCAAATTGGATCCACAGGCACGTATTGTGAGACCAACGGCGGGCGCTGGAGCTGGAGTTGTTGAAGCTGCAGGTGGTTGCTGCAGCCACGACTTCAAAATCATAATACAGCAAAAGAACGTAGTATAAAGCAAATATTTGTTATTTTATATAAATAATATTACTGTTGGCTGTGAAGGTAACCAAAAGGGGATGATGATTCCAAAGCAACTTCGCCATTTTGTGTGTTTTGTTGTGTATATACTCCTAGCAAATGTTTGAATGTTTTAAAACAAATTTTCCTGGGCTTATATACTTGAATTAAATGGCAAACCATAAATAATTCATGAGCAAAGATTAAAACAACACAAAAATTAAACGGTTGCCATTTTATTAACCGCCATTAAAGTTTTTGAAATTTAAGTTCGATGGCTGATAATTTTCAGCAAAGTACTCATTAAATAATATGCAAACTCATGAATTGCTATATAAACACTGAAAATCAAAAAATGTTAGACAGAAGCCAACAACATTCGAAATAAAATGGCGAAGTACATCTCCCTTGCACTTTTGGTCGTGACCTTCTATGTTTCTTCAGTGGTATATTTCAACGATATATTTTAAAATATTTCTATTTGTTTTAATATGATATTTTAGTCTTCCGCTGATATTGTTACTTGCTTAACCAAAGAAGTTAATAATTTTGTGGGAAAAACTGTCCCCAATACAATTGCCAACTTCCACACCCCCAAGGTGTGCAAGAAATCCAGTATTGAATCAATTGCCGCATCTTTCGACAAGTTGGCAAAAGCTGAATTGTTAAAATGTGGCACCAACTGGTTATGCCTGGCAGAAGTTCTCTTCAAGTATCAATATAACCTGGTGGTCAACGCAGCCGAGTGCGAGAAGGAATATATTATTAATGGTCCCATCGCCACTTTGCTGAAGGCATTCTACAAAAACATTGAAAAGTGCATGTCAGGCACCACTGTGCCTACTCTGCCATTGATCTTGCCAAAGGTGTAAGATATTTTGCAAATTTAGAGCAAGAAGTAATTATGTTAACTGTTGTAACATAATAAATGCATTATAAAAAGTCTCGTACATAAATATTTCCTTTTTCCACACATAATCAGGACTAATATTGAAGAACACAACTGCTTTTGAAAATATTAACATGATTTAGATCTATATTCGAAATAAATAAAGCAATGTACAATATTTAAATAGAATAAAACAACACACTGCCGCATGTACTCGTAAGTAAACTAGATAACATGTATACAAAATGGTAAGGTGTGAATCAATGTGTGTTTAAGTGTAAAACAAATGATTAAAAATGGCAACCAATCAAAATGGCGGCCGTGTAAGTAACGTGCTAGATATAAAACAGATATACACTATACATAGTATTTTGTCACATTCAATTTCAGTCACATTCTAAACTCTAAACGTACAGTTTACCGAAAATATTTAAACTTTCTTTAATATAATTTGACAATTTTGACACATAAATGGATTATATCTGGAAGGCTCATTCTAGTGAAGTTTGGTATTTCCGCCATTCAGCAAACTCGTAGATAAGCTAAAAAGATGCGACGAATTCTGCTTTTGCGCTGCATAAGCGCAGAAATTTTCTAAAAACACAACAATTTAGTTAATATTTTAGGTTATAGGAATAAAATGGCGTCTTACGAAATGTGATATATCCCGTTTGTACGATATCAATGCAGAAATACAGTTCATGACATTCATACTCGGACATCGCAAGTGTGTGATACAAAACTTTGGTGAATTCGATGTTGTTTAATCGTCCAACACCGGAAGAATCATAAATCTTTAAATAAATAAAAATCAAATATTAATAAATGGTACCTTATTAAATTTTTATATAAACATACTTTAAAACCATACTTGATGACATCCAGTAAATTATGATGATGAGTGATACCAACGACGCCGAGTAGATATTCCCGAAAGTCAATCACACCGGCTGAGTGTTTATCATAAAGATGGAAGAGGTGTTGCGTATTGGGGTTGTTCGCCGGCACATTGAGATAGTTAACAAAGTTGTTATAGTTCATGGCTTGGAAGCCCTTCTTGGCAGCGTGCGTTTCAATCAACTGCTCTTCAATGCGCGACTCGTTGAGTCCAAGGCGTGTGCGCAGTTGTTGTACTTCAACCAAATCGTTTGGATTGGGCAGATTCATTTCTTTAGCTTTCGCCATTAACTTACAATCGTCATAAGTGTAATCTAACACTGGTACACCCAACGCTCTACACAGAAAAATATTTATAAGTTAAAATTAAAAATAATAAAATTAATTTATTTGTAGAGCGTACTTGGCCATTACATCTCTGACATTATTAGCAAATAACTTTGGATCTTTCTTTTCTTCTTCACTGGGATTGTAAACAGGTAAAAATTCAATTTCGCAGTAGCTGTGCACTTGTGTCAATGTTAACCATAAGAGTTTCAACCTAAATTTGCATTAGAAATTAATTTCTGGTCATAATTCAAGATTTAAGTTTACTTACGCGCTTGGACCTTCCCACGTCCACGTGACAGTATCCAATTTGTTCGGGTAACGAATACAAACTGGTTGTATTGGCACGCCAGGATAAAACGCACCTGGTTTAAACGTAATCAAACACGAACGATTTGTGCATGTTCCTTCCGGGAAAATTAAAATCTGCGGCCAATCTTCTTCGGATTTCGCTCGGTTTATAATCTCCTTGATTGTATTTTGTCGTGAATCAGGATCGTCCCTCCAAACGTACACAGGCTGAGTGTAGTTAATCAATTCTGCGGAAATATAGTTTTATTAGAAAACACGTAGGTTATGTATAGGTAGGTGTGGAAGTTGGTTAGGTTAATGAAGATGGAATTACTTCCGATGTAGCGATTGTTTCCGGATTCGCGACGAACGATAATGGAAGGAAAGCCGGTGTAGTAGACGATGCCGCCGTCGAGGAAGGTGGAATGCGGGGCGATGACGAGAATGGGTGCTTCGGCTCGTGACGCCTGGGCCCCTTTGAACACCACCTGCATACCGCCCGCCGCGTACGTCTTCCTGCCCAGATAGCACAGCGCTTGCGTTACTTTCCTACGGACGCGCAACAAAAACAAAATAAACAAAAACAAAACACTATAACAACATTACAACATAACCTTTCAAAAGAAGTGCATAAAAAGCGTGGTAGAAATAAAAACCCCGAATGCGTGTTTGTATTTGTGTGTTCATTACTGGATTGATGAGTTGATTGATAGATTGATAGCAATCTATAACATACGTACTGCCAATGATGGGGGCGTCGCGATTATCACCACGCCCCACAATACTGGGTCCTCCCAAATAGGCGATGACGAAACTATCGAAGAACGATGAATGTGGCGCTATCACATAAATACCCGCCTGCGCACGTGTCGGCTGCACGCCTCTCGTGCGAATACGAAAACCGATCGCATAGAAGAACAACTTCATTGGGTAGACGGCCACCACCCTCAACCAGCTATGAGAATAAAACCCAGCCCCAATAAAAAGAATTTCGTAAAGAAAAGTTGGATTAGTTGTATTAATATAAAGAATAAAATATTGCATGCTGAGAAATTATTTAATTATTTTAAGGTTATGTTATTTACACATTTGAAGGTTAGATTTGTTGGGGACTTACCGTCGCCATCCTGCAAGAGGTCGTTTTTGTAAATCCTCTTCGTCCAGGCCCCAAAGACCGATGCAGGCGAGGAGCCATGCTGTGATAAGAAGTGCGCAGATAATCAGTACTCTGATTGGAAGTAGAACTATCGTTAGGAAGGCAGTCTGCAAATAAAATGATTGATTAGTACCTGTGACAACCATTTTGTTTTGTCGTAGGTCATTCACACCGGTAGGTTTTCGTTCTTTTGCGAAATCAGTCACCGCGTGAAATCGGTTAAAGCGCAAAAAATCAAGTGAAACGAATGCAATCAGAGTCATTGCCATTTTGTTCTACAAGGATTTCCTTATACGCAAAATCTAAATAAAATAATTCATTGATTGTTTTATATTTATCTACGATGAGTTGTTGACAAACTCGACAAACAACCGTTTTGATGGCTTCCTACATGAGAAACACTAATTTCCGGTTTCATTTCTCGATACCAAAATAGAATCAATTCTTATCACTTGTAACACGAATATTTCTATTTTTCGGATATAAATTAATATAACAGATGTTTCAGTCACGCATGCGCCATATGATGAACGTTATCAACAAAATTAACACTTTATGATGTTTGTAATAATTAACTTGTTAATGAACGTGTTAATAACGCCTATTAACGCCTATCAAGACATGATGACAGTCCGTTGGCTGTTGGCTATACGGATCTCGAATCTTTTTGTTTTTCGTTGAATATTTATTTTGTTTTGCGCCGCGCGGTCGGTGACTACATCCAACACATCCGCGAAACGTAACAGTTCACCGACTGTAATTGCAAATTACGCGTAGGCAATGCCTGAATCTGTCTCGCTTATTCCCGCATTCGTCCTCATGCCCAGCTCCTCGTCATCGCTTCGTTTTCTTTTTCTGTTTCCACGCGCGATACTTTCTCTTCGGTGCAGCAAGTTCCGTTCTTTCTCTTCTCGACGCTCGGCTTCTCACATTTGATATTTGATTGCAACTGCAACATTGATTGCAAATCGTCTGATGTGAACTTATTACTATCTAAATTATAAGCTTTATTTTCTTGGCGTATTCTGTCAGATTTTAAATTTCTCAATATAAGAGAATGTGAGTGAAATTAATAAAATAGAAAAAATTATCGGAAACTTGGGCACTGAGATATAATTTACATACGTATTGCATTCAGAGATGTTGATGAACTAGTTCAGAACAATTCATTTGAGTTGTGAATATTGCAACTTTCAAACAGGATGTTTTTTATTTTATATTTTATCATAAAAATCTGAATAAAACGAGTTGTGTTTACGCCGCTATTTGTTTTCTATTGTTTTGTTCGGTTTTTATTTTTATTGAGACATTTGAGTGTCGATTATAAACAATTTCTTGATTTCTCTTCTAATTAGAACATAAAACAATTATTTCGTTAAGTGGGCAGGTATAGAATTACACATTGAACATAATTTACTGAAATGTTTTAATTATTAGATAAAAACAAGTCTGTTTAACACACTCTAATTGACATAATTCGTTAAAATACACCCGAAATACTATTTAATAAATTTAATGCTCAAGAAAGCATGACTAATGATTCTTTCTAATTTCAAAATTATTAAAAGTAAAGTTTTACGGGTTTCTAAATTTCAATCCTCAATAAAGCGATGCAATACATGGTTTAATTTGTAATAAATTGCATTATTGAACTTTTACATTGCATTTGATTGCACATTGCACATCGGATAATTTTATAACCTCAATCTTTACAATTATGCGTTTGTGTCAATTTAGGTTATGAATTTTTTGCCTGAATGTCGTTTAACAATTCATTTGCGAGATGAGTGCAATCTGCAATCAATGTAATCATCTAAGCAGTGCATGTATAATGCGCGTCTGCGTCAGAAGCTGCAAGTCATCTAATTTCATAGTTCTTTGCGGTTTTCTTTCGTAAAGTGCAATTGCAGTGCGATGTCTGCAATGTGCAGTAAGCTACATGCTACACAATACAATATTCTACAAGTTGTGCTGATTTTGCGAAACTAGCAAATCCGAAATCGCATCAAATCACAGTGGCGAAACTGTGCGTCATTATCATCATCATCATCATAATCATCGTAAAAAGGAATATTCCTTTCAATGCAAGTCAATAGAATGTATAAAGTGCAGCGTGCGCACAATACCATAACCGAAATGATGTCACTTCTTTTTAGGTTATTTTAACTAAGATGGAGCAGTGGTTGCCTAGTTTCATTATGAAGTTGGTTATGTTGTGATTGCGAGTTGGATCGTATTAATAGAAATGGAAATATTAATAATTTCTGAAAAACGTGTAGAACCACAACACAGAAAAAAAGAAAAAGAAAATGAATGTGGCATAAGAAAACTGATTACTTTCTAAATGTCGTTCATTATTTTTTATGAAAAGCACTCCGAGAAAAAGTGCTTTCCTGTAGAAATCGATTAAAAATTTAATCCTTGCCATGTGTCGGTTTTTCTATAAATATCTTTATCGTCCTCTACGCCTTTAAACATATAATATTTTAAGCCAATATAAATGGTGATAGGTCATCAAAGTTTGCGAAGAATGAATCAATTTCCTTCATGCTGGAAATTTATTTAATGTGATAATACTATTTAATGTCTGGGAAACCTATGAAATTTAATATCAAATGCTCAGAATGTTGTATCCATTAATGTCAAAGCAAAAATAATATTTGAATTTGAACTGCAAAGGTGCTAAAACCGATTAATTTATGAGGTCTACTTACAGCGTACGTGCAAAACGTGCAATATTAGACTGTGCATACAACACCGCGACTTTTAATTTAATTTGATGGTTGGTGAAACCGAGCCTCCAAGCCTGCAATCCCTATAAAGTCGATGCGACACGACCAACAAACCTATATCAACAAATAAACAACAAACAAACGCGGAACAATCTCAGTGCATGTTTAGCACCTTTAACATAAAATGCGAGCACATAAAGTGTCACACATGTAAAGAAAAAGCTGTTTTAAAGATATAGATATAGATTGCGTGTTAGTATAATATTCCTGGGATAGTAATATTTGCTTAACAATTAAGAATTGTCACAATTTATTATCACTTCACAATAACTATATTTCTATATGAATTTACACTGTACGCACTTTAAGTTTATTGCAATATTTACTGTTACTTTATTGTCTTTATGTTTCACGTGTATTTACACATGATTGACAAGGTAATGATTCATAAACGCGTAATATGATAATGAAACGATCGTGACATTTAAACGCACACAATCTGATAATCTACATTTAAGAGTGTTACAAAATTTACAGTTTTTATATTCGTGTCAAAATGGATTAAACGCCTATAAAATTGAATATTGCTATTGCACAAGATTAAAAGTATCAACAGTCGACCGAACAATATGCAAACTCAAATTCTTAGCAAAAATATGCAAATGAAATTGAAATTTTTGATGGCGTAATAAATTTAACGTTTGTAGAGTTGCGAAATCTGTGCCAATGCAACTAACTTTTAGTTTTCATGTATCACATAAAAATTTCGTGGTAATCGTGAAAGAAGCAGAAAGCTATAAATCACGAATAGTTAAAAGTTTAAAATAAGGATTATACAAAATGTTCACGTAAACCAATAAACTTATTTTTCGATATTTTGGCTCAGAAATAAATTTTATTAGTTTTTTTTTTCACTCCGTATTTTTATTCTTTCTTTATGCAGATAGTAGATCTTGAACTGTTTACATTAATTAATTAATTAAACACGAGAGTAAATTTGGTTGACCATGACAATGTCGTGCAGTGAGACAGTTTCAAGTGCCAATCGAAACAAGAGACACTTTACAGTTTACATAGAAAGTGAACACATATTAAGAATGTGCGCAAAAAAATTAAAAATATCCACACGTCCGTCACTTTCGCCGACATTTCTTTCTACGTTTCAAATATTAATGTTCACAATACAATTACGGAATATAATTGAGTTACTTTCAATCACGTGCTACCAAAAAATTATCTCATTAAGGCTTTTTTTATGTGTTAATCAACAAGTTTCGAATTTCAATCGCAATGCAATTAAATATTTCCCCACACACAACATTTATACGGTTGATAATTTGTTAGAAAACGCAAGAAATGAACGGCAGATAACGCAAACTGTTATTTTCACTTAAAATGTTGCAAGATGTGTCGTATGCACTTTTGAACTTTTGTTTACAGTTTTAAGCAATCAAACCTCAAGACAATATACACAAAAATTTGATATTTGATGAAATTAAATGTTTACCTTTAATTTTTCTGATGTGGTCTCCAATTCCAAGTGATGCACGAAAGGGTTGAGCAGCCCGCTGCCCTCCGTGGTGATACCTGCCGCAAGTTTAGCGTCCATTTTCTTGTTGTTTGTTATCAAACCGTATTTTCCACAAAAAGTTTAATTGTTCTTCTCGTGTTTGAATGTTTTGCTTGGCACAGTAACCATACAACTCAATAGCGAGTTGTTGCAAATTTCTCTCGGTCTGCGCGCGTGTTTTACATTCTGTACGCAGCGTCCGGGCCAGGTGAAAATCGGGCGCGCGTCAATCGCGAAACGCGTTTCTCTTCGTGCGGCGCACTCGCTGCGAATGCATGCGCGTCGCGGAAATCTCGTCGAGCGACGCGCGCGCGACGTTACCATCCGGGGGGGAAGCCGAGGAAGCCGAGGAAGCCTTTCGCCCGAAATGTAGGTCCCTCCCGGTACACGCTGTCCCCACCGTGCCCCTTTTCTCGTGCGTTGTTCGCATGTTCGCTGATGCCAGCGATCGATAATTTCACCAACGCGTGTTCAAGGGGGGAAACAAACAAAACATTGCACGGGATAGCGTGAAATGTTTCCCAAAAAACACGTAAATACTGCACTCCTACTACGTTGCTATGGCAACCGAAAATCAAACAATGTGCAACATGTCCCGTTTGGTAATGTTTACCAAATAGCTAATTGCTTTACTTTAAAATTGGCTTAAAACACGCACAAGACATTTTTTTCTTTGCTTTAAAATTACGCAGTATTTTCCTCACACACATTTATTGCCACAGTGCAAAAATATCAAACGATAAATGAAACTAAACCTAAATATCAATCTTTTCTTTAAATTTTCGTCCAAATTTCAAACCAAAATTGACATTAACTCACAATACTTTACTTTAATCAAGACGTCGTTTCTTTACCAATGACCCCAACTGTAAAATAATACACAAAAAAAATTTTGACAATGAAAAAAGACAAGATGATTTAATATTACCAAATCGGAAATGGCTGGAAGATTATTCGTCTGATCGCCGGCGCCGGTGTCGGTCTTTTCCACCTTGCTGTTCTTTAAGTTTCGATGCTGAGGAAACGTCGGCATCAATTTCGGGTCGCATGCTATAATAAAACAAAACAAAAAACACGCATTTAAAGCAAATATTATGACGCAATGATACATGTGTCCACATTGAATTACCTTTAAATCGTAATTTTAAAAATCTAAGCAACCCATGACAAATAACAACATTCAAAATTACCAAAATCTTTTGCAATTATTCTTTCTTCGTCAAGTCTACCATTTGCTTCTTTGTAACAAATGTTCGTTTATGATTCTTCATAAAACTTTTCTTCAGACCTTTTAAAATATTACAAATTATCAGAAAACTGTATTTGATACTACGTATTGTCTCTCTTAACGCTTGTGTGTTGTAATTATAGGAAATAAAGATGACAAAATAAAAGATTTACTTACGTTGTGGTGCTTCTTTGAAATAACTGCTCTGTAAGCACTCCTCAGCAGTCGCCCTCTTTCTTGGATCATACATAAACAAGAAATTAAGCAGCCTCAGCCCAGCAGCTGACAACCACGGGAATTTTTGCTTCAGATTATTATACGGCTGCTGTTTCAATGAATAATTCTGCAGGGCTGGCAACGCGCTGAATCCAGGCCAGATGGCATCCGATGGTGTTCCCAACAAATCAACAATCAATTCCAACTGTTGTATTTCAGATCTTCCAGGAAGTAATGGTTTGTGGCCTAATAATTCGCCAAGAATACAACCGGCCGCCCACATGTCTACGCTTGGACTCTGTGTGGGCGCTTGTAGCAAAAGTTCAGGGGCGCGATACCACAGTGTGACGACATGTGGAGTCATAGGTCGTAATGGCATTCCGAACCATCTTGCAAGGCCGAAATCAGCGATTTTCACGCAGCCTTTGTCAGTCATCAATAAATTCGAGACTTTCAGATCGCGATGTACGATGAAGCTATGATGCAGATATCTTAGACCTCTTAGAACCTGCAGCATGATGCATTTCACCTGAGACTCTGTGAAGGGTGTCTGCATGTTGTCAAGCAGTGAGGCTAAATCTTGCTCACAGTATTCCATTGCAAGGAAGATGCTTTCGAGACTTTTACCGACGACGACTTCTTTTAGCTGCACGATGTTCTCGTGTCGGCAGTTTAGGAGGATTTGAATTTCGCGCAGGCTGCTGATTGTGACGCCTTCACGTTCTAGGTCCATGCGGACTTTTTTCAAGGCAACAATTTTATCATTCTTTGTATCTTTTGCTCTGTCTAAATAAAAAATAATAAAAATAAAAATTATTTATTGCGATACTATGAAGGACTTTTTAAAATGACTTACAAACAATACCATAGGTGCCTTCACCTATCCTGTTGAGCTTCTCAAACTCGGAAACAAATCTACACCGACCCAACTAGAGCAAAACAAAAGTAACATTATTGAAAATTTATAACTAATTTTTTTAATTAAAACACTTACAAGGTCAGTTTCGGGAATGTTCATAGACTTGCCAGTCTTAAAAGACATTAAGATGCCTTTCCTTGTGATGGGGGCTGCAGGTTCCAGGCCGTTTTCATTTTGTTTGCTCATTTTAAACTCGGGGGCTGGAAAATTACACCGGGCTTGTGAGAAATTCGAGGTTATAAAGAAAACAATCGCTATTATTGTCCAGGGAACGCTTCACAGAACGAAATTCATTCTGGTCGGGAATGATTGATAAATTTGTAGGTGAAAATAACTTACATTGGCTTAATACGTCCATTATCAGTTTATTTCACCTTTATTTCTTGTTTTTGCGCCGCTTTTTATCATTTACCTAGTGTTTGGTGTGTGTAGTGACAAGACGTAAAGTTAAGCCCACACAAATTCCCTATTTTTCATTTATTTACCTGAAAACAATAACATATAAATATTTATTAGTGTAAAATAATTAATATAATGATTATGTTCATTTCAATTATAAAATACAGCCACATCGTGCTTATTTTAACATTATTTATCCATTTAAAATAAAGTGTGATAACGTAGCTTCATATTTTAGTTCGTTTAATTGACACAGCAGCGCTGACTCAATTTTAAATGGCGGTGGTTTCGAAACATCTTTACTTACTTCAGGAAGATAAATAATAAATTGTCATAGTTTATAATATTAATAATCTTACGAGTAATATATTTTCAAATACGTTTACAAATGGTATATACTTGCGTCTAAAGCCACAAAAAAAAACACGTTTTCATGATTTGTACATCAAACAAACAGAAGAAACAAATCCGCATCAATCAAACGTCCACCCATTAAAAACCACCTCCATCAAACACCCCTTGCTAAATGTAAAACGTTTACCATAATTAATTATAGCGCAAAGAATTCAATCAATATGTGTGTGTGTCCTAACTACGATATATCTTCATAGCTTCTGAAAAACCTAACGACTAATTTGTTTCTCCGTTTCATTATTCATCTCCTTGCTTCATTTTCTTTTGCGTTCTCGCACACCGCGCGCATTACAACATTCACATCATCTCGTAATAAGGTCAATAAGGATAACTATTGCATCTTGTGTTGTGTACATTTATCCTGAGGAATTTTTAAAATCTAGGTAATTAATTAATTAATAGAGATTACAGTACAATAATTTTTAAAATACAATCAATAGTATTGCCAAACATTCATCGTCGAGAAAATATTTTATTATATTTTGTATTATTATTATTAAATTTTAATAGGTAGTAGAAGTACTTTTTTTCATTTCTTTTCGTAATTATTTGTTTCATTTTGTCGTCGAAAGTTCATTTTAATTTCATCGTCAATAATTTTCGAAACGTCTCTTTATACTTTAATCTCTATGAATTCTACTGATAGTTTTGCGTGGTCACATTTATAATGTGTGTGAGTTGTGTGTTTTGCTTACTACAATCGGTCGCTTAAACATACATAAATATTGATAAAGATACTCGTAGATTATAACAATACTATATATCTTAGATCGTTACGTTAGTAATAAATTCTTTGTGGGGTCGCGCGTGAGAACGTGTGAAATCTTGTTGCCATGCTATGGAAGAATGAAAAGAATGCTTGTACGTACAGTCGCAGGTCATGATACCATCATTCAATATTAAATTCTTCTGCCGAGTAAATTCAATACCAAATGATTTACATTTACAATCACAGATTGAACGTTTACATAAAGGTTTATAAATGTGACCAACGCGATTTTTCTTCTTTTTGGCAAAAGTTGACAACAAATTTATCTCTGTATAAAAACTCTGACATGAATTTGTACCTTTGCAAAACAGCACTATTGTTTTCTTCAATATTTATCTCATTTTCATAATTTTATTATTTTTAATATTTAATCATATCGCTTTTTGTTTCATCATCATTAAAAATATTCACCACATTTCGCTTTCTTTTGCGTTTTTTTTCATCATTTTTAATAGTTTTCATTTTTCTTCTTCGTAATATATTAGAGGATAGCTACATCTCGTTAATATATACATATTGACAAAAGACAAGAACCGTTATGGTTTAACCATGTAATTATTAAACGCGTGTCCAGTGTGTGTTTGTGTTATGTGTGCATGGGGGCGATTACAAGTGCGCTTAACTTAAACTTATGTTGTGTGCCTGATCACCAATATTCTAACCAACCCTGACTCCGATCCGCTTCCTGCTCGTCCCTATCCGACATTAAATTTATATCAAAATTAGCCAATTGTTTCCTTTGCCTATTCCCTACCGTCACCATTATCCTATATCTCCAAATCAGTCTTTTCGAATTTTGCACCAAAATTTTGATAATGAATTTCGTCTCTGATATATAGATTGTTTCCATCCAGTCCAGTCCGAATCAGTCTTTTTGACCACCACTACTCACAACCGCCTGCAAATTTCAACTTGATTGTGTCTCAAAATCAACATTCTACAAATATTTATCTATACAACTAATTCCTACGATAATCTGATTAATATATTTTTGTTTTGTATCAGCATAACCACTTAAAAATAGTTTTTGTTTTTAAATTTTTACTTTTCTTCGTCGAAATGTTCGTTTCATAAATTGTTACGCCAATGTTTACACGCTAGGCACGAAAATGTTAATTATTTGTGATCAAACGTCTTTAGGCAATACAACAATAGATTTCTCCTTCGTTATTCATCATCATCGTAATAAATACGCCTTAAAAATAGAAATATAGTTAGCACGATATTCATAATAATTTTTTTTGTGTTGTGTGTAGTTTTTAAATATACTTTTAATATATGTACTTTAAATCGTAAGTTAATCATTATATATTCATGTGTGGGGTGTCAAGTGTGAAGCGGTAAACCCTTAAAGACTAATATTATTATGTACGAATTTTGTTTTCTCATATAACTTTCGTTCAGGTTTCAATGTGTCAACGTGTAACATCCTTACGCACGATTTTAACAAAAACGATCAAAGAACGAAACGTGCGCGCACACCTCGAATTGTTTGTTTGTTTTGTGATTAGGAACTACGGTAGCATATTTTCGCACTCATTCACTTTCGCTCGTCGCTTGCATAAAACGGATATAAACAAAATAAAAAAAAAACAGGTGGAAGATAGATTTGAAGTTTGGTTATGTTCGTCTGTCATCTGTCACAAAGATGGCGTATGTAGGGCATAAACGTTCTCGAAAAGTGGCAGTGTTTTGAGGTTTGAGATATTTGCAGTTTCTAAGTGAGTAAGTATGAGTCTTAAAATATTGTCTTTTACTGATATAAAAATTAATTGACATCCAGCTCACGCCAAGACGCAATTTTTGGCTCGAGTGTGTGTGTGTGTGGGGTTTGTAAGTCAGTCTGTCACTTTAAGAACGGTTACGTAGATCACAACTATAAAATCAGACTTCTCGGTATGTGGTTACTTTTGTGTGTGTTTGTGTTGCGGTTTATTGTAATGTCATTTATAATTATGGAATGAATGTTCGGAGACAGCTGCACGTGTCGTGTGTGTATGTATGTATGTACGTTGGGTGGGTGTCTGCTTGGTTGTCTAACAATGAGAACCCGATAATAGCGTAGAATAATACTTAAATAAATAACTGCGTAACTACTTCTCGTTTGGTACCGTTAAAATCTAAATATACAACAAAACAAAATAAAATCAAAACGAAAACAATTGTTTCGCGAAACAAACAAAACACTCTCGCTCACTCAGCCGCAGCCGCTCACATTTTGAGCTCCTCCGAGGTGCGATAGTTCGACAGCGTCTTTTTAATGCGCAACGCGGTGAGACGCGCCGTCGCGTTATGATACCAACACTCTTTCATCAACTTTGACATCACTACCAGCGCGTCGCAGTTCTGCCATCGGTTTGGTATACTTGGACGCCTTCTATCAAAGCATACAACTCTGAAATGGCATACAACATTACAATTTCTAATTGCACACTTAAAATATTATATTATACCTTCGCATATCATCAATAGTTGGATCACTCGGCACAGCATCAAAAAATGGTAGCTGATACTCATCGTACATGCCACCGACACTGCAACGCCGCGAAATCTCCCAAAATATGAGTCCCAGCGCATACACATCAGCGCGTTTAAACGAATCAAAATGATCCGTCTTCATCGTCTCGTCGAGCACCTCCGGCGCCATATATCGCTTAGTACCCACCCGATTATTAAGCGGAATATCTACCGTATCAGTAGAAACATCGTGCCGCACCGCTAGGCCCAAATCACCAATCGCACACGTGCCATTCTGCTTCACGAGTATATTCTTCGACTTTAAGTCTCTATGCGCAATCGCTGGTTTACCTAGATAATCGCAAAACAAACATAATTTCATTGCAATCATAATCGCATATGATTATGTTTACCCTGAGTGCCCATGATATCCATGTGAAGATGAGCAAGCCCGGTGGCAATCGACAGCGCCATGCAGATCATATCACTCGTATTGAACGTGCTGCGGCCGAGATAATCAAACAGCGAGCCGCGCTCGTGATAATCCGTTATCAGCCACAGCTGCGTCCAGGTACCGTTGTCTGGCGAAACACGAAAAAAGCAATTACTCATATTAATTCGAGTAGTTTATAAATAATGAAGTACCTTTATTATCGGCGGCGATAAAGCCTAAAATGTTGTCGTGACGAAGCATGACCGTCTGGTAGATTTCAGCCTCGCGGAACCAGGAGCGTTCCTCGCGCGAACTGAAAATTTTCACGGCGACATCCTCGCCGCGCCAACTACCACGCCATACCTCACCGAATCGCCCCTGACCGATTATATTCACCAGCTGGATTTGACGTGCTATACTTCTTTGTACCAACAGGGGTAAACCTATCACAAAAACATAAAAAAATTAATAAAATATGCGATTTAATAAAAAACCTAAAATATTACCTGATCCACTACCACTAGTGGTCATTTCTATCATATGCCGCAATGAATTACCATTGAGCATCGGATGGTCCGGCGCCTCGGTGCTATCCTCCCCCAATCCTATATGCTGTAAGCGTGCGCCTCGACGACCCGGTTGTCGACGGTACCAAACCCACGCGAAGACAACCACGCCAGCAATCAAGGCGACAACCCCGGCGCCGATGACAATCGACGTCGTACTGAACTCATCTGCATTCTCTCCTAGGTCGTCACAAAATTCCATCAGTATATTGCACAATCATTATTATTTGCATGCATTCAAGAAAAAAGAAAATTAATGAAAAGTGTAATAAAAGAATGAAACCAAAATGAGTCGACACACATGCAAGAGAGTGAATCGAAAGAGTAGCACGATGCACGAGACACAAAGCAGAAAGCAACAACACACAACACACATATTATATATCATCAACCAAAACGTGTGTGTTGAGCGCCCAAAAGCCGAATAGCGTCAAAGCCAAAGCCGTTTGCCAGTTAGTCCACCATATCATCTCAACTTCTAGGTCCCCGTTGATTAATAAACCTAAGAAATGTCACACCTGGGACGGAGGGTAAGTAATTAAGTTATGGGTTTGTGTTAATCAATAAATACCAGAATTTCGACATGACACACGCCTTCCCGAAATGGCTCATCGCTGCCCGTACACAGATGTCGCTGTCACTCCTTTATCATCAGCTAAATCTAAATTCATTTCAAGTTTCATCAATTCGCTCTTCCAAGTGATAAATGTGCGAGATGCGGACGAGCACAATAATCAACATGCGTTAATCTTCCACAACTCAAGCTCCGCCCCCCCCCCCCACTCGCACTCACCGGGGCGGAGCGTAACGAGGATTAAAACATGTTCAATTATTTATAACACCCCCTAATACACATAACGTCGAAATAAATGATTATCCCCCTGCTCGCAACGTCCGAGGTTGTTTTGTAATAGAATGTCTGGTGTGTGTGTGTTGGTGTAATATGTGTACGATGGCGTGTTGTGAGAGTGTGTGGGCGTGTCGGTGGTGCGTTGCGGGTTGCTAACCTTTCGGCTTGCCGACAGTGAGAACGGGCAGCGTTCGCATCAGCTGCACGTTACAGTAATCGTACTGGTCGCAGCAGTTGGCGGCGACCGCCTCGAAGGCGGCGTCGCCGTCCACCACGAAGTGCTCCTTGCAATAATCGGTCTGTACGGGATAGGGATTTAAGATTATGTCGCTGGTATCAAAGCATCTGTCCACCCAAAAAAGAAACAAAACAAATCAGGAAAGAATCGCGGCTATGTACAGCGAAAGTTTACTGCGCACGCGCGCTAGTGCAAGTCCCATTAATCATAATATACAGGTGCGCCCTAGATTAAATATTACATATTTACATGTCAGTTAAATAGAGAGAATTACGCAAATTACGCTACGCTACGGGTGGTGTGGAGTATCCAAACTACGAATATACCAAAACCAATTATGTTTATATGTAAAATATTAGCTGGCCTGCGCTGGCTGAAGACTTGTTACTGTTGTTGTTGTTGTTGTTGATAAGTAAATGTGTCAGTCTTTTGTTTTTTTATTGTTTTTGAGCGTGTGTGGCTTGTGTCAATGTGTCGTGTCTTTGCTTTAGCTTTCTGCTCCGAGCGTTCGTCGCTTGCTAGCTGCATTTTACAAATATGGTGTATGTAAGACAGTGATTCGGCAAATTAAAAATAATAATAATAATAATAATCTACGAAAGTTAGGTATAAAAGAGATTGAATTAATTTAAAGAGAGAGAGAGACAGACGTGTGTGGTAGTGCGGGCGCGGCTTTACCTCGGGGCAGGGGTGTTAGTTTGGGATTGAGGTTCTCGTTGCAGTAGTCCCTGTCGCGGCAGCACTCCATCGCGAAGGAATGATTGGAGGGTCTCTGCGGGTTGCAGAACAGAGGATTGAAAGACGGCACCTGCAAGTCCGTCGGTAGGCACCTGCAAAATTCATCACCACCGGAGGGGCGCCGCAAACACGTCAGAAATGTCACCCAGCAAAATAAATGCGAGCTATTCAAATGGCGGCCGGTCGAAATTATCATTTCAATATTCATTATTCGAGCGGAATGGGATAGAAATCAAAAGTTGCTCGATAGCCAGTCAGAGATAGAGCTTAGAGAAACAAAAAGGATTCACAAGGATTGGATAATGATATGACATGATAAACAAAATCTAGAAAAACTAATCAACCGACTGTCGCGAGATAGAATCAAGAGTCATTCGCTGCAGTGCTTTCTTTGTTTAGTAGAATCTACCATCAATCAAATCAAATAAAATTAAAAAAATAGTTGCAAAAACATGTTAGGTACGTATTGAGATTAGTATATCACAGCAACAAAAATAAAACGGTCTTCCGCGCTGTAATTAAATTGTTAGGTTAGTTAGATTAGTTTTTTGAGAGCGGCGCTTTTGTTGGTGGAGGTGGGATCCACACATTGGGTTTACCTGAGCCGCCGGCGGCCGCCAGCCAGGCCCTCGAACGCCGCATTGCAATAATCGCGGTCGTTGCAGCAGTATTGCGCCGCCTCGTCGGTCGGCTCCCGGTCGCACCACACCGCGTGCTCCGGCGGAAAGAAATCGGCTCTGCTCAAACATCTATTCAAAAAAACGATTGAAACGCAACGAAAACGCGCGGTCTGTGTTACAACCAATTGATGAACATTTAGTGTTTGAAAGATGGAGGATGGGAACAATTTAGACTGGCTACCAATTGTTTTTTGGACAAGTTTGCTTTCACTTGTCATGTTATGTTTTTGCACTGGCTATAAGAAAACTGTGATTAGCAGCAAGCGGAGTGATAATCACCTGTACGTGTGATGCTGTTGGCCGTTTTCGATGTACTTTGCCGCATAGCAGTAGCCGTCCGTTTCGCACGTGTTGTTCGTACGCGAACACATGTCGCATCTGCATTTTAACTTCCCCGAACCTAAAATGAAACACAATTCGATTAGTATACGAAATTATTTACTAGGCAAAACAAAACACAAACAACTAGAAAAACAATTGAATGAGTCAATGTTTAACTCTGTGTGTATATTTGTGTGTACAGACTATGACCTCAGGTAATGGAACGCGCATTGTGACAGTAAAAATTCGCGACCGTTAATCATTGCACAATGCCATCCGTGCATAATTTGTGCATGCAACCCGCCGCACAAGGGCATGGTCATGATAGCATGTCTATGCATGCTGGAGTTAATGTTTAGAATGTTTTGTATAGGTGTTTGTACTTACTATAAACTAAATGGCAAAGCCACAACAAGATTTGTACAACAAGCAGCAGCCGCGTCATCTTCACGGTGGCCGCTCCTCCGGGTGGTATCCTAGTTCACGTTCTCGCGGCGGGTCACTGATTAATCACGGTGTGCCGCATCCTACGCCGCCCCCGAGGGCCCCTGGCCGCCCCCCACACGCACGCACGGTGCGCTTCTAACTTTCGCTTGTTTATCGCGTGTCTGTTATTAGCGCTCTGCCGTTGCGCGCTGCGCCACTCGGTTACTTCGTCAATCGAAGCGTATCGTAGTTTTCACGACGCACTGTTTTTTACCGGATCGACGCGTGTCTTCTGCATGAATGCGATGGACTCCCGAGTGTTTTGAATTGTTTAGAACTGATCGTGCTGGTGGTGCGCGCACTTTTTTCGGGAGATACTACGGCGACGACACCAGCGAGACGAAAACAGCAGCCATGTTGTGTTGCTTTTAACAAATGCGAATCGGTGCCGATGTGCCGAAAGCAAAAGGCCGCCAGATGGCGTCTGGCCGCTTGACGACAAGTAACTCATTAACAATGCAGTACACCGCGAATATTCAAATTAGACGCATAAAAATGCACACAATTGGAAATTATACTCACTGACTTGTTTCTGATTAAAATTTTTATCATATAAACATTGTTTTATCGTGCTTACATTTTTTTATAAATAAAAATTACTACCTTTTAAGCAGGCAACCCAAATTACGCATTTAGGCAAAAGATGTTTGACTTGTACAATAAATAAGCAACTTTCATCGATAATAAATGATTTATTTCAGATAAATACAAGTACGTTAAAATCATATTATATTAAATAAAATGTTTGATAAATCTTAGTGCGTAAGATAAAATAAAATGCCACAATGTATAGAATACTGGAATCAAATATGTTTGTGTAAATTGTATAAAATGTATCAATCAATCAAGAGTTTTGCCATTCATCCGATGCGCATTTGGAATCGGAAGGCGTTTACCAATTGTAGTCACGTGGAAACCAATTTCTAGAAGGCGGTCGTGGTCCAAAATCTTGCGACCGTCGAAAATATAAGCTGGTTTCATCATATTACTGTAGATATCTTCATAATTTAATGTCTAAAACATTGAAAATGGTAAAATCATCAATGTATAAAGAGTATTAGCAGTTTCTTACAATAAATTCATCCCATTCGGTGCAAACAACAATTGCATGACATCCTTTTGCAGCTTCCAGAGCATTATGACAAATTTTCACGGATTTTCTTACACTTTCAGGCGATTCACAAATAGTAGGATGTGTGAGATCATTGAAAATCTGCGATTCTTCCACCTAAATACATAAAATAGCAACGTTTATATAAAAATCTTATAAATTGAGGCAATTATTACCTTTGGATCATAAATATTTAATGTTGCACCTTCCACAAGCAAAGTATTAGCAACATAAATCGCCGGACTCTCCCTGGTGTCTCCTGTATTCTTCTTAAAAGCGAATCCAAACAGCGCAATCTGTTTCCCACTCACTGTATTGAATAACTCCCGGACAACATGCGCAGTAAACCTCGACTTCTGGTACTCGTTCATATCAATCACCTGCTGCCAGTAAGCAGCCACCTCTGGTAAATTCAGGCACTCGCAGATGTAAACCAGATTGAGGATATCCTTTTGGAAACAGCTCCCGCCGAAACCAATAATTCCACAACATATTAATTTAACAATCAAAAAGTAAATGTTAAAATACAATCAACACAAATCACAAACAACTCTATAGCTCTTAAGTAGATCTAAATTATAAAATATTTAATAATATATTATAACATATATTAATGTGGCACGTGGATGTGTGACGCGTTGTTAAGCATATATAAGCGCAGGTAATCCTTGCTCTAAATGTACAAATATGTTTCACGTTCGCTTGTTATCTGAGTTTATTTTTGTTTTTAAATTCCATTGCTGATTACCACAATGAAATGGAACGCAACTCAGCACAAGCGAATGAAAAATATTAAAAAAACGCGTATTATATGAACAAAATAATAGTTACCAATTGAAGCCTGGAGAAACTTGGAACCGATGCGTGAGTCCAAGCCGACAGCACGCGCCACTTCCGATACGTCCGCCCCCGTTGCCTCGCATACCGCTGATAACGAATTAATGCTTGACACTCTTTGCGCTAACATCGCGTTTGCAGCCTATAAAAATATTTCCAATTTAATACTTTTATTATCACAAAAATTGTTATTATTTCTCATCACTTACGAGTTTTGAAAGTTCTGATGACCAAGTATTCGTCGTGAGAATATTCTTCCTCGGAATCCAATGCTCGTAAATTTTGCACAGTTCCTCAATTGCATGTGCATCCTCACCACCAATAAGCACACGATCAGCGAAGAGTAAATCATTGATAGCTGTACCTTCAGCAAGGAATTCAGGATTGGATAGGATGTGATATTTAACACCTGGTTTGTTATTCGCGCTGAGGACTTTCGCAATGCTTTCAGCCGCACGTACAGGCACAGTGGACTTCTCAACGACTATTTTGTCACTTTGTGCCACGTTGGCGATCATCCTCGCGGCACCTTCGACGTATTTTAGGTCAGCCGCACGTCCCTGATGAACATAATAAACAATTCAGTCGTGTTTAACACGTGAGGTAATTCCTAATGATGTAATTGACTAAATAGTGAAAGTAATGCATGGCATTGAGTAAAAATATTCAGTACATTGACGCAAATAGCATCAAAACAATCAAGCGATCGAATAAATGAGTTACCTTGCCATTGCCGAATGTCTTTGTCGGTGTATTGACCGAAATAAAGATAAGGTCAGCCTCTCGAATGGCCGTCTCATAGTCATTTGTAAAAAATAAGTTTTTTCCTCTTGTTGCTTTAACAACTTCGTCTAAACCAGGCTGGAATCAAACACAAACGTTTAAAACTGAATTTCTGTGAGTCATAATCATAATTACCTCATAGATTGGTAGTTTATCAGAATTCCACTTCGCGATCCTCTCCTTGCTGAGATCCGCAACCGTGACTTTAATCTCCGGGCATTTTGATGCGATTACACTGCAAGTTGGCCCTCCTACGTATCCTGCACCAAGGCAGCAGATGCTCTTCACGACCATGTTACACTTTCCCCAATTTCCTAAGTGAAACAAAATAAAATTAATAAATGATTTAAATTAAATGAGAAAAATCATCTTGTCTGATTCTTACTTGATGGCATGTTTAATGATAAATGATTAACTTCTCTAAAAACTGTCGTAATTTATAACCGACGTCTTATCGCACAAAAACACGCTGAATCCACGTAAGCTGTGTGTATTATTCTGTATTGAATTGTAAATTTGCCATTTCTGTTTGATGTTGACTCGTAATGTTGTTGGTTGTTTGAAAAGTAAGCAACTGAGCGCGTTTAATTGAGCATTGTGCGCGATTGGTGCGTAATCACACCGCCAACGGGGATGATTGTCAGGTAGAATGTTTTAATCCATGTTAAACTTCAATGTGTACGTGTTATCTGTGGCATTGCAAAATTTTTTTCTACTTTTGTACGTTAATGTAAGCACTCCAAACCGAAACCAAGGAAATGGAGGTTTTTTCCCAGTGTTTTAAGTGCAAATATTTTATATGTACTTTAATCTTGTGTCATAAAATGTATCATAAAGCTTTAAAGATTTGTAGTTATTATCATTATATATTGATTAGTATAAGTTTATGTACCTTTGAAGATTATTTCATGGATTATCAACATTCTGAACTTTCATTAGCCACGATTTTAGGTAGTGAAACCGTTATTAGTGTCTACGCGCGGATTATTAATAGATTATTCATTAACGCAATTCGGTAGAATAATAATTTGTTGTAGACTTTATTCTGTATTAAATTGTATGTATAAAAGTCTCTTAATTTATTGAAAAGTGTAAATCTATAAAAAGTTATAGTCTAATAAAGTTAATTGTTAGTATTATTGGTTTAATTGGTTTACAATTACCTTTATTAGTTGTTTCTTGATTTGAGAAGTACGTTTTCTTATCTGATAATAAAACTACACTGCACTGTGAGTTTTAATCATCACTTTGTTCACGCAGTACAACATTAAACGCAGTGTTTCCCGGGGTCTCGCCTTAAAACTGAACGAAAAAAGCCCGGAGGCGTTTCGGTCTGTTGGCACAAACCGGCTTCCAGATGTGTTTTTAGTGCTGCTGAGGAAGCGCACTGAAGTTGGTGTTGGAATGTTAAAAGAGGCTGAGCTTTTTCCGAGATTCGAGCTTGAGTTTAGTGCTGTTGAGGTTAGCGCACTAACTTGTTTGCGACCGGCTGGAAAGCCGGTGTCAACTGATTCATAAACTGAACCAAACTGCTGCCTGGGTGACTTCTACCGAGCTCAACAGCTAAAATTTTGCTGCTAACCACTACCTCTACCTCTCTGTAAATAACTTTCAGAACAAACAGATAAGTTACCTAAACTGTGCTAACTAATAGACAAAAATAATGTATTTAAATGTAATTTGGTGAATTTCCGTTGTATTTTAATATATTGCAGTTATTATTTAATGTTTTTAAAGTTAAATTTACCATAAAATTCAAGTTACTCCAGCATTTTACTGTTTAATTACGTTGTTATTATAAATTTACTAAAAGTATTAGGTATTTCTAATTACAAATAAGTTAGGCAACTTTAATTTCAATCCAATAATAGCGCCACCGGATACACTCGGATTTATTCAGAAACTAAAAATGCTAAAAAGTTGTTTATTCCGTTTATTCCGCCATTATAACTAAAAGGGCCGTTACAGATTCAACTAAATTACCAGTTTAAAGTGAATAACAACAAATTCATGTAAGTATAGCCACCTATTTCTATATAAACCTATAATTCTTAGAAGTATTACGTATTCTGAATATTAATTAAGCTGTATCGACTACATCGCTACTTTTACTATCTCTATCTTTGGAATCGTTAGATTGCTTCGAATGCGAACTCAAACTTCGATGTCGACGCATTTCCTCGCGCTTCATTCTTGTTTCTTTGTGTCTTTGCGCCAAAATCTTCCTGTATGCGTTCTCTTTTTCCTTTTTATCAAGACACCTGCGCTTTTTCAGCGCCAAGCGGTGCCTTTTCTCTGTAGTCGTTGCGGCGTGATCAGCCTCTGAATCTTTGGTGCTTTGAATCTCTGTTTTTTGCCTTCTTGTTCTTGTTGTTCTGTTCTTTCCACGGGTCGTTTTACAACGTAATGCCGCACATCATCTTCACTCGTCAAACTAAACAGCCTGCGGATCTTATTCGCTCTTTTCGGGCCTAATCTCCTCGGCATACTGATATCAGTCAAACCAGGAATATCTCGTTCACCTTTGCGTACTATCACCAAACTTAAAACGCTCAGATTTGCATCGACTATACATCCACGCACAGATTTCCTACGACGTTCGCCATCTCTCCTCTGTCGATAGCAGGAATGCCCTGGACCCATTAATAATCTCACACGGCCATTAGTGAGGACACCTTGTTTCATTGGAAATCCTTGCCGGTCATTACCACCGGTAATTTTAAGTACATAACCGTTCCAATCATCTCCCAAAGGATCCGCACGCACTTCCGCTCCCATACGTTTATCGAAAAATATGCGTACTTTGTGGTCGTGTACGATTTCGAAGAGTTTCTGGCAGCCAGTGGCTGGATACGAAATATTCAGCTTCATTTCCGCACTAAAACAAGCGAAAAACTTTCACAATCTAGTTTTTATTGAGCTAGGTCATGGTCAACGTGCGTAGTAGAACATTTATAATGAAAATACTAGTATTTCATGGAAATAATCATAATTTTTATACCTTTTTGATGATGATATAATACCGCGGTGATATTCTAGCAGATACTGCGCGTTTCCGGGTGAGTTTTGTACCAGTACCCCGGAATCAACAGATCAACATGGAAACACGCGTTTCCATGACGATTCCAGACCTCGTATAAAGTTTTATCGATTATACACGTACACCCGCCACCAATGCATTATATTAGCAGCCCCTGGTTGCCTATAAATAGGCGTCCATCATCCCTAAAACGTTTTCAATAGGATCCGAAGTTCGATAATTCCATCAAAGTGGTTTTACGTGTTTATTTAAATTTTTTGTTTGTTTTCTCGATTTTATGATTTTTATGTAGGTTTTGTTCGTTTTATTATTTTTTTGCTTGTTTGTTCACATATCCCCAGTCGAAAATTGACTATCATATCTTAAAATTACATACACGACTAATATGTATTGTATAAAACGCCCCTCCGCCTCCAAACACAACTGTACCACACTCAGGAACATATCATAGACCAATATTATTACAGTGAGTATAGTTATAAAACAAATAGTATATAAACACAATAAAAATACGTCTCTTGTCATCGCATGTAAAATTTGTCAATGGTATATGTTTATGATGTGTGTTTATTTGCCCATTTTGACGAATTCCCGAAACGCGGCTTGAATTTCCTCGTCCATCTCCGGCTCGGGATCGTACAATTCATCAGGATCATCAAAGTCATCCATTTCACCGTCAAGGAACCTTCGTTCAGCCTCTGTTAATTCTTCCCCGCCGGGTCCGTAGAAAGTATCGCTCATGAAGCCATTCGGCATACTATTTGAAGATCCACTTGAACCTTCGGTTAAATTTGTCGCGCTAATACTATGCCCCCATTTGTGTGTGCGTAAATTCATCACGCTCTCAATCAATGTGCTGATATTCCTCTGCACAAACGGTTTTTTGGTCTCTAGCAACTCGAGGAGATCTTCCATCATTCCCTTATCGAAATTCTCCATTGCATACCCTGCCAACTTCAAAGTCTGGCAAGCAGTCTTGACTTTCTCATCTCCACCAAGTGAAATCAGTTTGTTCACAGCAACATATAACATCTTCCAATTGCTTTGGTTGCCTTGTGAGTACAACTCAGCAAGGAACAATGTGAATCCTGGCTGCTGCCTGTTCTTCTCCACTTCCTTCACACAGAGATCTTTCAGCAGCTGTCTGAATATAAGTGATTCATCTTGTATGAGCACACAGAGTCGAGCGGCATTATAACGAAAGCTTGGCTCTTCTATGGCGTTGGTGAAGATAAAAGTGCAGAGCTGTTGCATCATTTCAGAACTGTGTAGATGTATGTGTAATGTTTGCATGAATATGTCAATCACTTCTTCGAAGTGACCCGGGTCGGCGGTGAGCCGCACGATGATTCCCTGTAGATATTGAAAGTCGGTAGCAATGTCGCTGTTGTTCTTGGCCGGGATTTGTTCATGTCCATGACCCTGTCCAGGCGATTCTCGATATTTATTCAAGCGACTTTGAGCGGAATATTTTTGTGATCCCTGTGCGGGCGCATTTGTGTTCAATGAACGTGCGTTGCTTGCACCGGCATTGTTTTCATGATTTGCTGGGAACCACTCCTGCGCGTCAGCGTTGAGCTGCTGCATATTTTTTTTGATTCAATCGTGGACTTTGATTTCTACTGAAAATAAAATCAATGGAAATTAATAAGAGTGGATATTACATGATGACACTTGTGATTTTCGTAATTATTCACCTGAATATACCGCGTGCGGCGTGTGGAATTTGTCTGCGACAGGCGTTGGCAAGTTCTGCGGATACTCTCTTCACACAGCGTTATTATCAAACGGTTAATAACATACTGATAAACTGCGTTGCGCACTGTTGTTTGTTTGCACTGGTAATTTTTATTCCGGATACGTGTGTCTGGCGCTTATTTTGCAAATATCAAATGGCTTGCAATGGCAAGAAGACGGGGGACTTTGACATTTACGACTAATTGTCAAAATCGGCAAAACGTAACAGCAGGTTGCAGGAAGCGCAGGAAAACATGTCGTGTAAGTTGCCTAGCTTAAAACCAACACATATCTTTTCTGTAGTGCTGGTTGCCTAACTTAAACACACAAAACAAAATAAAATCAAAACGAAACACATTTATAGTTTTTATTATCTAAAACGGCTGTCATTGGTTGCGGTGATTTTTTTTTTGTGGACTGAAAGCCGGCAAACTAGCGGTTCCTTGCGTTGCTTGCGCTCAACGTGTCCGGCGTGTCCTTCACCGAGCCAGCGAAGAATAATGTGTGCATAGGTAAAGTCCGTGACTCCGTGAAGCCGCGGACAACGCGAAGGCACGAACGCGTTCTGTACCATGCCGTACCAGGCTGTCCGCGATCGCGATGTTTTCAACAACTATGTTACTCGTTACACCTCACCCTCCCTCCAACTTCAACGGCGTCCGGCCGCGGCCGGTGAACGCATAGAATTCGCGATAATATTAAACGCTGCTTTTACAACGCCAGCGACATCATACTTGTTACATGTTTGATGAAATATGATGCAAATTATGCATGTAGGTACACAGATTTAGGTTTGTGTTACGAATTTACGACCTCACGCACTCGTTTTAATTACTTCTAATCTTATACAATTCACAAGTCGCTTAAAAGATGCAATCAATTTAATTCTTTAATTAATTTCGGTTCTCATTATTCTTAAAAATTTGCGCTGGGAATTTTTATTTAATTTATTACATAATCATAATAATGTATTATTTATTTTAGATGAATAATTGTTGATTTAAGTTTTTTTTTTTGCTACAATTAAAATTAAATTTAACGAATTTTCTAATGCATCGTTTATTTTCTCTTTTTTTTAGGTCATCGTCGTTTTGTGCAGTTTCGAGTGAGTTTGTAGTGAGTAATTTTATAATTCTTCATAATCGTGCCGGCGGTAATTTCACTTTGCGCGGAAAGTAATCAAGAAAAATGCGAAAACAAAAGTCGCCGAACATGCGGAAGTTCAGAATAAAAAGGTAAGAAAAGAACGTCGTTGTCCAACAATTATCAAGATGAATTACACGTTAACTCACTTTCGTTTATAAACTTTGAACAAAGCGCAGTATTTTTTTAGATGTGAATTAGGCGTGTTGAAATCGTTCGTAAATCTTTGAATAAAACGTGAAAACGTTGCACGAATTGATTTTGTTATTGGCTATTATGAGCAGACGTTGCAAACCTGCTAAACTGGAAATTTTGTTTATACGTATCGCAGTTAATTTATCTCGGAAATTTCAAGATGTAAATTTTTTTCTTGAAAACACTTTATTTTCTTTTTTGTTTTATAAGTTATAAAACTTTATTCATTCACGGTAGGATATACAATCAAGTTTGGTAATTAACTAACGTAAATGAATTCGTAGAATTGCAATATTAATTGCAGTAGCGGGAATAAATTGTGCTAAAATAAGTTTCTTCTTTGTTAAATAAATATTAAGAGGAATAATTTTTTAGTGATGAAATTTCTTTTGCGGTAATTCAGTGAATACGTTTTAATTAAAAATTAAATAATTAATTAAACACAATTTTCACTAAAATTGCTACATTTTTGAAGGTAAATGTAAAATTTAGGAAAATTATGGTGTAACTATTGATTATGAACCATTTTTAATTAATTCTCAATTCAAATAGATTTAGAAATTAATACTGAATAACATTTTAACAGAAATATTAATTAAAATTTTACAGTTTTTACAAAATTAAAAAAATCACTATTTTTACATCAAATTTTTGAAGTTTTACGGCTAATAACTTAATAATTATGTTAAATAAATTAATCTAAACCTAATTTTTATATGTTTGAATCATTTGATAAAGAATATAAAATTTTCGTGAAGTACGTTTCGTAATTTTTTGTCTTTGTTAACTTCCGCAGGACGGAAATGTGAAGAGTGCAGCATAAGTGCAAGCTGCACGCTGCATTCCATACAAATAATCGAAACAAATATGCGCCGCGACGCGTATTTGCGCAACATATTTGTTTTTGCCATCGCATCTACCAATGCGCGGGTGCTTTCATTTCCTTGCGCTATTACGCTCTCGGCTGTTTGTCGCGTTCGCATATTTTTCGATATTTCGTCGGGAGTGCCCACATTGCCCTTCGCTCGACAGAGGCTCTTTCGCATGAGAGACACATTTTCATAATGTTATCCGGCAAAACTTCAATAATATCATCGTCAACATGTCAAAAACGCAGTCGGAAATAGAAATCTCAAATTTTTATCCCAATTTTTTCATATTATGCCATATCAAGTGTTGAGAGCTATTAAAATGGCGGTAATATTTTGTACAAGCTATTAAAATGACGTTTTTACGCTGGTGTCACAATTACACTAGTAATTTAGAGCGCAACAAGATGCATACTTGCATACGTGGCGATATTGCACATTCGGCGGTGATATATGAGAATGGCGTCGGAGGCGGCGTCGGAGCGCGGCTGCCGCGTCGACGTTAATTAAGATAACGCGCGTAATTAACACTTCGCGCTCGCGTATTCGCATCGCTCGCGCGTTAACAGCCCTACTCTACGACTTGTAGACTATATTCGATATACAAATTGTTCATAATAATCAGTAACTAATATTTATTCGGAAAATAAGATTTATGAATATTTACCTATGTTTTCACCGTTAAAATTTTGTTTATCGCTTTTAAAATCACGCATTTCGGGGAAAACATCCAAAATTTCATTATAATTAATATATTTAAGTGGTTTTATGTATGTTTATACGAAAATCTTTAGTGCTTTCCGCTTTGTATGTATGATCAAAATGCACTTTGGAAAAATAAACAGCAACGTCGCGAACACGTAGCCGGCGTTCGCAATTTCGGCTGCTTCCCCAGCGCCGTGTTGTTGTTATTAAGTTATCGTTAAGTTTCTGGTAGGCACAAAGCACTCCAGCATGGATGTTTGCAAGATGGCTGTCATTCTTCAAACAAAATATTCCACAAGTTGAAAATTTTCTCACAATAACTCACACTGCGCTAGCATAGTTACTAGACATAGTTACTATGTATATCATTGTTGTCAGTTGTACATGCATGAGCGACCAACTCGCCCGACCATAAATACAAATAAGTACATAATAATAAACGTGCTAAACGTATTAAGCGCATATAAGTGCATTTATTATTATTTCTTTGCGTTCTTTATGGTTCTGCATGGCCATGAATGCATGGCATCTAGTTTCATAGTTTCAAACGTTTGATAGTTTCGCACAAGTTGTATTCGCAATTTACATCAGCGACCAGATCAGAAGTCAAGGTGATCGTAAACGCAAAGGTAAAGCGTAAATGCCGTAAACGATGGGCGAGCGAACGCGAAGAAAATAAATAAAACATGATGCGAGCGCGTCGAGCGGAGAAAGAAAGGATTAGCGCTGTTAATGGCGTTAACCAAGCAACTTGCACACATACTGACACACTTTAATGCAATAACAAATTTTCCGCGAATTAGTAATTGTCCAATCTGGAATGGATCATGTCACACTCCTATTTTTATCGGTTTGGAATTTTTAAGGTCATTTATTTATTGTATTTTGTATTTGGGAAGTGAAAAAACAAAGAAATTTAATGTTTTTGATTGTTTTTTAACAAAAGAAAATATTTTTGAAGTCTTAAAGTTTAAATACACTTATTTACTGTAGTTTTTCAATGAAAACATAGTATTTTTTAGTCAATTTTAGTCAACATAACATAAAAAACTTAAATTTGGTAGTAGATGAGCGATAATTTCAAATTTTGGGCATTTTTAAGGAAAGAAAATAATTTTAAGGCTCCCGTGCGTCAAAAACACTTTTTACTTCAGATACGTAATGCTTTTCTGACAGATTTTAGTCGACATAACCTATAAAATCTAAATTATGTTGTAGGTTAACGATAAAATAATGTTTGTAAAACCAGTACTGAAATATGGTTATTTTAAATGGAATCTTACAAAATATTTCAAATTTCACATCAAAATAACATGCATTTCTAAATTTATACGCCACAGAGTAGAGTAACTGCCGGAAATCGAAGATAAAATTTGCAAGATCGCAAAATGGAGATATTCCGCAATAAATTGGCAATCGCAGCCGGCGATATTGCGCACCCACAGTCTGTGTTTGCATCTTGAATTTACTTACCTATACCCATTACCGTATGTCGTATGTAGGCGGCCATTACGCACTGACCGTACCGTTATTATCGACGACAAAGTCAACATGCCTCTAATGAAGCAAAATTCAATTGGCAACAAGCAACATAATGCTTGTTTGCATTTGCAAAATAATTTTTCTACCGGAAGCGATTTATTTTTTGATAATTTCGTTGTTATTACAAATAAATTTTTTGGGAACAAATATCCGATTGAATAAAATAGGTAAACAGGTAAGTACCAACAGCATAAATAGCTGTTTATGTTGTTTGGTAGTTATGTAATGCAAATAACCGACAGTCATTGGCGTGTAATCATTGAAAAAAAAAAGTAAAATTGGCACAGGTAACGACATGTAATTTAATTACACACATGACTGACAAAAACAAATACCTAAGCGAGAAAAAAAATTTAAAAGTAAAAAAAATCCATTTTGCTTAAAAACTAAGTTAATTTGTTTTTAATTACCTAAATTCGTGCCGAATGAGACTGTTTCTAAAAAATTGTTCAAAACACGTTTAAGTATCAAAAGTGAAAAAGTAAAATTTTTATATTTTGCAGACGTTAATAAAACTTGATTTTATTGCTTGCTATATTCATATTTACTGCTCTACTTAGTCATGTGTTGTCGAAACCATCCGAATTATTAAAATCGTTTGTCGTTTACATTTCCCATTTTACATTTTAATGCTAATGCGAATGTGTGTGTATTAATTATGTATTGTTCATGTACGTGATGAATGCGTGCCCGATAAAATGTTGGCGCGGCGCGTGAAAATTGCATTATTGCACTCGGATCAGCCCGAAACATTGAATAAGTAATGGTAATGGTATAAATCACACCTTTT